GCGAACTTCCGATTTGGCGCCCCCCCCTTTATATATATATATATATATATATATATATATATATATATATATATATATATATATATATATATATATGTATGTATATATATATATGTATATATATATACATATGTATATATATATATATATATATATATATATATATATATATATATATATATATATATATATATATATATATATATATATGTATGTATGTATGTGAGTGTATAATCGTGTATGTGTGTGTAAGCGTGTGTGTGTGTGTTAGTCTCTTTTACTGTATGGCTCGCAGATAGATTACAGACAACGGAAAATGAAATAAGAGCATGGGAAAAGTGGTGGTTAGGGCACCATATAAAAGACAGTAAATAACATCACTAAGCAGGTGCTGATGTTTATTCCACGAGAAAGAGGAAGAGAAGGTGACAAAAAAATGTCCTGAAAAAAAATCGTTTGAACTAGAGAATGGGGAGGTTCGATTATTAGGGTTCTTTCTTTATAAAAATTAAGTGAGTTGACGAAGTGTTGCCTACGCCCTACGCCTATGCTCCTTAGCAAATCAAAACAAAAAAAAAGAAAGAAAATCAAACGAACTTAGAGCAGTGGATCTTAACTTGGGTTCGATCGATCGAATCCAAGTGTTCGGTATGTAAGTCTCAGAGCTTCGGCGGATGTCAAGACACACACCCGACTCATATGATTCACGATAAGATTTTGTCAATGTGGACGTTAAAACTATTAAGAACAGAGTTTCTTCCAGACATCTCTTCGGGGGGGGGGGGCAAAGCCCCCCCGAAAATTTTTTACCGCCCCCCCCCCCCGAACGAAATGAAATTTATATAATCTATATAGAAAATATATACTTTTATCAGTGTCCGCCCCCCCCCCGAAGAAAGTCTACCACCTCCCCGAAAATTTCAAGTGCCCCCCCCCCCCCCATGCACATCTCCCAACCATATTGGACACAGTTTGTAGAGCGGGTTTTAATGTAACCAACTTTCTAACTTTTTTAAAAATGTTACACAATCGTACAATGCACTTTAGCACAGTTAGTTTCTTAAAGAAGTGCTAAAGGTTGTTTACTCAAAATCCAGTGTAGTTTTGCAATTTTAGTAAGCCTAAAAGCGCCCCCCCCCTGCAAGATCTTGATAAGTCACTAACGTATTTTGCGGTTAAACAATCGTACAATACATTTTAATACAATTGATTGTTTTGATAAGTGGTAACGCTGAATGATCCACCAATCTAGTGTAAATTCTTCCGATTTTAGTCTCGAAAAAAGCGCCCCCCCCCCCCCGCCAACACACAATCTAGGAAAAGCTGGAAAGCGGTTTTGCCGCTCACTGCTTCTTAAGATTATATGTTTTACAGTTAATAATCAAGGTAGAAAACAGTTAAATCAGTATGTAAAGGCTCTTAGCCATTACATTGCTTAACTTAAACTGTTTATAATTCAAAACTGCAGCATAAAACCAGCTTTAAAAAAAAAATTTCCACCCCTTTTGGCGCCCCCCTAGGGTCGGCGCCCGGGGCGGCCGCCCCCCCCGCCCCCCCCCCTAGCTACGCCTCTGCAGGGGTATTATAACTGTACGTGTGTGTATTGCGATCAAAGACTTAATTTTAACATAACCGATGTATTATTTTATCAATTTTCAAACACTAAGAGGAGGGGTGAGGGTATGTGACTAAGTCACTAAATGCAATGGTTGAAATAAAAAAAAATATCCCGGTTCTTAAGTTGGAGTTTAAATAAACCTTTTGTGTCAATACAAGTTTTCTGTTACCACATGACTTTGAAAAATAACATATCATATAAAAGTGGCGTTCCATGTGGGGTGCAGGGGTGCGTACAGTACCAGGTGACACCTGCCTAAAAGACTCCCATCCAAAATACAGTGCTACGAAAAGCGATACAGTTAAAGTCCTAAGAAATCTGTTTTAGACGCACATTAATATTGTGTAGGCCTATACAAAATACTTGGTAACTAGCAATAATTTAAGTATCGTTAACTTTTTTTTTTCAAGTTATAGGTAAGTTGCAGAGCAAAGAAATAAAAAAATATGGACAGCATAGATACAACAAACGAACTTGAAACAGTACAATTTTTATTTCTCTATAATAAATATATTACCGTCAATGAATGTCATTGTAAAATCCAAGTAATGAAAGGATGTCATATAAAATATACGAATACATCTTTCACTACTGGTGTTTGTTCTCACATCATGTAATAAAATTATATTGTGGTAAATACATAAGACAATAAATGTTGATATTAGCTTGGGGACTTTACATTGAATATAAATAACAATAAACAAGACAATTTAGGAATTTGAATGTTATGAAGATACATAAAGATACAAGTAAAGCTCAGCAAACGATATCATTGTATACGTTTTAAAAAGTTTTTAAAACAATGTGTGATAAAAAAAACATAATGTCATAGACGATAGCAATCTGCTTGTCCATGTATTCAATGGAATATATAGATACCATATTTGTAATGAACATTTTAAGTAAGATTCGCCTATCTGTTACAAATAGACATGTTTATACAACGACAACGATGTAAATTAAGTCTATATACACTATATATATATATATATATATATATATATATATATATATATATATATATATATATATTCTTAAACATATACACAATGACAACACATATTTTAAATTTACATATTTAATTTTGATCCTTTCCCCAATCATACTTAACCGATATATTTAGGAATTTTTGTTATGGTACATTAAGTATTTTTAAAAATCATTATGTAACAATAATTATGCTTTATTCACAAAAATCATTTAAAATTTACATCAGGTTTCACTTCCCTTTTTTTTAATTCTAAATGAAAACAAAAATAATTTCTATGTTAAAGCAATGTTACATAATTTTAGAACATTAATTTAAAAAGTAGCACAAAAATCACGGAAAAAATATAAAATAAATTTAAATTAATTGATTAGATTGATGTAATTAGTAAAGCAAATTACATTAAGAATGTAATATTTGACCAGAACTGGTTGCATTTTTTAGAAATTCTTTCGGTACTTGGTCGAAATGGAAGAAGGCGTTGCCCCACGTGGCTGTAGCAAAAACAAGAATCGGCACACAAATAATGTTGAGGAACAAACCACTGGACACCTGAGAAAAACAATTACATTCAAGGTAGATTTTAATTTTGCACTTCGAAAACTAAATTTAGATTAAAATTTGATGTTGTCGAAGGTGATTAGACCCCCCCTCAATTTTTTATCGCCCGTCATCCCCCCCCCCCCCGCCACGGCAATAGCCCGTGACTATTACCCCCTGTATATTAACCCCCCTCCCCCTCCCCCCAAATAAAAAATTGAGGTGCACATTATTCTCCAACCCCTCCCAACAGTCCCTGTCGATTACAAATCGACCATAAACCTAATCCTGAGATTAAACGTAACCCTAACCTGCAAGTAATATTGGCGATTGGGTAGGGATGGGGTTGGGGTAATTTTTTAATAAGAAGGGTTGTAATAGTAAATGATAATTAAGGGATAATATTCTTTTCCCATTAAATATATGGCTGGTCTAGTCAAAGGGAAGTGACTCTAGAAAGAACAACACGGTTACCTACCATGTCTATAACACTACAAGGAAAGTTTATCAAGGGAGGCTATTCAGTTATCCTATCTTACCATGTCTATAACACGGACTGTGCCACTAGCGAAGACGATGGCGTTGGGTGGTGTTGCCACGGGCAACATGAAGGCGAATGACGTAGCAATGGCGGCAGGATACATGAAAAACAGAGGATTCACTCCTAGACTGATGGACTGAAATTAAAATTTATAATCCCTTTAAAAAATATTTAACTAAAATAGTTTCGATTACAGAACACTATTTTTATAGTTTATATTACAGAATAATATAAAAAATGAATGTAAAATAACATATAATTTATAAAGTACTAGCTGCATACCCGTGCTCCGTCACGGTAAATCTTTTTTAAATGTACCAACTTGGGAACAGAACAAAACTAACCTCAACACAAACACAATACAAACACAACACAAACACGACACAAACGTAACACAAAATAAGTTTAATGCTTGGACGAAAACACCGATTTATACTTTATAATTTATAAGTATCATTTCTTTTTCGTGTGAAGTTAAAAATACTTGCTATTGTTGTAACTATCTCTATTGTCAACATTTGTTAATGGTGTGACTATCACATACTACAACCGTCACTTTTGTAACTATCACTAAGCATCAGTCAACATTTATTTATTTTGTAATTATCATTGTTGTCAACATTTGATTATGCTGTAATTATAGCTCACCATTTGTGAAAGGATGGGCATCATTAACGTGGCTATAGCCGTGTTGCTGGTGACCTCAGTAGCGAAACACACGATGTAGGAGATGATGAGCAGGACAACCCACTGGTTGAGTGACTGGAACACCATCAGCTGCTCACCCAACCAGGTAGCCAGACCGGAAACCTGGGGAACAATACTCAAATCTAAAGGCATACGGAAATGACAGAGTTGATGAGAATACTTCCAGAGAATTAGATCTTTTACTTACATGTGAAATTTCATTTATCTATCTGAAATAGTACCCCTTCCCCCCCCCCCCCCCCCAATGAAATGGAATTTATATAGAAAATATATACTTTTACCAGTGTCCGTCCCCTCAGAAAATGTTGAGCGCCCCCCCCCCCCCCGAACATATCAAGCCCCCCCCCCCCTTCCCCCCTTCTCCCCCGAAGAAAAAAGTCTGGAAGAAACACTGGTGTTTATTGTTTGGAATTATATTTTCATCCACCGCCACCCGCGCCCTAATGTTGACTTACCGTGGCAGCCTGGGCGATAGCGTAACCACCCCCCAGTAGGAGGTACAGGGACCAGGGCATTTTTTCATGGACGTGACTCCACTTCAGCAGGGGCGTCACCTTCGTGTAGGTGTCTGTGGGTGTAAACATTGTTTACCTTCACCAAAAGTTTACTGTAAGTGAAGGAGAGGTCCCCATAGTTTTAATTAATGATAAGTTAGCGTTGCAACAATATTTCACATTTCATTCCAGATCTTATGCATATCTATCCCGCTGACTCAAAAATTAACGGGCATTTCTGTCCTGTTGACTCAATAATTAAACGACCCTTCTTTCCTATTTGCTCCTAAATTAAGGACATTTCAACCTTTTGACTTAAAATAAACGGTCATTCCTGTTCTGTTGACGCCAAAATTGATGAGCACATCTGTCCCCATGATTCCACCAGCACAGTTGTATCAGAGTATTGCACAACAGAAGGATCACATTTCATAAACTCACTGTACAGAGCCTACGTCTTCAATGAGAACATTGTCAGTATACCTTCATGTCACAAACTGTGACTAGTATTTTTAACGTGTATAAATAAAACGAAAAATGACATCATTTGACCTACTGGTTCCGCCTCTCCGTGAGTAAATGTTCGGCAGCGATGACGGTAAAACAAACATGAGAATACCAAACAAGATGGACGGGGTGGAGTCACTCAATCTAAGGAAAATAAAATGGAATTTATATAGAAAATATACTTTAACAGTGTCCGCCCCTCCGGAAACGTTAGTCCGTACCCTCCCCCCGAAAATTTCAAGTGCCCCCCCCCCCCACCTCAGGGGAAAAAAGTCTTGAAGAAACACTGTTGACGTAAGTTTTGTATTTGCAATTATTTTTGAGTGAGCATTTTCGCCAGTATTATTGTCAATAATTTTCATTGTTAGTAATCTTCATTGTTAGCAATCTTCATTGTTAGCAATATTCATTGTTAGCAATATTCATTGTCAGCAATTTTCATTGTCAGCAATTTTCATTGTCAGCAATTTTCATTGACAGCAATTTTCATTGTTAGCAATCTTCATTGTCAGCAATTTTCATTGTTAGCAATCTTCATTGTCAGCAATCTTCATTGTTAGCAATCTTCATTGTCAGCAATTTTCATTGTCAGCAATTTTCATTGTCAGCAATTTTCATTGTTATCAATTTTCATTGTTAGCAATCTTCATTGTCATCAATTTTCATTAGCGACTTGTACTGTAAAACCTTCGACTTACCCAGGAGGGAACCAATCCGCCCAACCACCAGCTCCACCAAGATCACGAGTGATCCAAGCAACAACAAGCAGTACGAACGTTACCAACACTGTACCTTGGGCATATCTGTTTTGTTAGAGTAACACATTTGGTGAGCTGAATCGAATTTAAGACAGCTGAGAATGCTGAATTGCTTTATTACTGATTTAATAAACACATCTTAAACTTATATTGGAAAATAATAAACATAACCTTAGCGTCTAGATTAAAAATCTATTTAGGTTATAAAAGATCTCACGTGATAGGTCCCAAGTTGTTGTACTCATCTCTGATCATGGCGTTGACCTTCTCCAGTTTTTTCTTGTTGGCTTCTGGAGCACAGCAACAACACAGGCACCCTCCTCTGTACAGACACACAGGGGACAGTTGAGTTTGGTTAGATCTTTCAAATGTTTGTACTACAACAACACAGACACACAGGGGACAGTTGAGTTTGGTTAGATCTTTCAAATGTTTGTACTACAACAACACAGGGGACAGTTTAGTTTGGTTAGATCTTTCAAATGTTTGTACTACAACAACACAGACACACAGGGGACAGTTTAGTTTGGTTAGATCTTTCAAATGTTTGTACTACAACAACACAGACACACAGGGGACAGTTTAGTTTGGTTAGATCTTTCAAATGTTTGTACTACAACAACACAGACACATAGGGGACAGTTGAGTTTGGTTAGATCTTTCAAATGTTTGTACTACAACAACACAGACACACAGGGGACAGTTGAGTTTGGTTAGATCTTTCAAATGTTTGTACTACAACAACACAGACACACAGGGGACAGTTGAGTTTGGTTAGATCTTTCAAATGTTTGTACTACAACAACACAGACACACAGGGAACAGTTTAGTTTGGTTAGATCTTTCAAATGTTTGTACTACAACAACACAGGGGACAGTTGAGTTTGGTTAGATCTTTCAAATGTTTGTACTACAACAACACAGACACACAGGGGACAGTTTAGTTTGGTTAGATCTTTCAAATGTTTGTACTACAACAACACAGACACACAGGGGACAGTTTAGTTTGGTTAGATCTTTCAAATGTTTGTACTACAACAACACAGACACATAGGGGACAGTTGAGTTTGGTTAGATCTTTCAAATGTTTGTACTACAACAACACAGACACACAGGGGACAGTTGAGTTTGGTTAGATCTTTCAAATGTTTGTACTACAACAACACAGACACACAGGGGACAGTTGAGTTTGGTTAGATCTTTCAAATGTTTGTACTACAACAACACAGACACACAGGGAACAGTTTAGTTTGGTTAGATCTTTCAAATGTTTGTACTACAACAACACAGGGGACAGTTGAGTTTGGTTAGATCTTTCAAATGTTTGTACTACAATAACACAGGGGGCAGTTTAGTTTGGTTAGATCTTTCAAATGTTTGTACTACAACAACACAGGGGACAGTTGAGTTTGGTTAGATCTTTCAAATGTTTGTACTACAACAACACAGACACACAGGGGACAGTTGAGTTTGGTTAGATCTTTCACATGTTTGTACTACAACAACACAGGGGACAGTTGAGTTTGGTTAGATCTTTCAAATGTTTGTACTACAACAACACAGACATACAGGGGACAGTTGAGTTTGGTTAGATCTTTCAAATGTTTGTACTACAACAACACAGACACACAGGGGACAGTTTAGTTTGGTTAGATCTTTCAAATGTTTGTACTACAACAACACAGGGGACAGTTTAGTTTGGTTAGATCTTTCAAATGTTTGTACTACAACAACAGAGGGGACAGTTTAGTTTGGTTAGATCTTTCAAATGTTTGTACTACAACAACACAGGGGACAGTTGAGTTTGGTTAGATCTTTCAAATGTTTGTACTACAACAACACAGACACACAGGGGACAGTTGAGTTTGGTTAGATCTTTCAAATGTTTGTACTACAACAACACAGACACACAGGGGACAGTTTAGTTTGGTTAGATCTTTCAAATGTTTGTACTACAACAACACAGACACACAGGGGACAGTTTAGTTGGGTTAGATCTTTCAAATGTTTGTACTACAACAACACAGACACACAGGGGACAGTTTAGTTTGGTTAGATCTTTCAAATGTTTGTACTACAACAACACAGACACACAGGGGACAGTTGAGTTAGGTTAGATCTTTCAAATGTTTGTACTACAACAACACAGGGGACAGTTTAGTTTGGTTAGATCTTTCAAATGTTTGTACTACAACAACACAAACACACAGGGGACAGTTTAGTTTGGTTAGATCTTTCAAATGTTTGTACTACAACAACACAGACATACAAGGGACAGTTTAGTTTGGTTAGATCTTTCAAATGTTTGTACTACAACAACACAGACACACAGGGGACAGTTGAGTTTGGTTAGATCTTTCAAATGTTTGTACTACAACAACACAGGCACACAGGGGACAGTTGAGTTTGGTTAGATCTTTCAAATGTTTGTACTACAACAACACAGGGGACAGTTGAGTTTGGTTAGATCTTTCAAATGTTTGTACTACAACAACACAGACACACAGGGGACAGTTTAGTTTGGTTAGATCTTTCAAATGTTTGTACTACAACAACACAAACACACAGGGGACAGTTTAGTTTGGTTAGATCTTTCAAATGTTTGTACTACAACAACACAGACACACATGGGACAGTTAAGTTTGGTTAGATCTTTCAAATGTTTGTACTACAACAACACAGGGGACAGTTTAGTTTGGTTAGATCTTTCAAATGTTTGTATTACAACAACACAGACACACAGGGGACAGTTTAGTTTGGTTAAATCTTTCAAATGTTTGTACTACAACAACACAGACACACAGGGGACAGTTTAGTTTGGTTAGATCTTTCAAATGTTTGTACTACAACAACACAGACACACAGGGGACAGTTTAGTTTGGTTAGATCTTTCAAATGTTTGTACTACAACAACACAGACACACAGGGGACAGTTTAGTTTGGTTAGATCTTTCAAATGTTTGTACTACAACAACACAGACACACAGGGGACAGTTTAGTTTGGTTAGATCTTTCAAATGTTTGTACTACAACAACACAGATACATAGGGGACAGTTTAGTTTGGTTAGATCTTTCAAATGTTTGTACTACAACAACACAGACACACATGGGACAGTTAAGTTTGGTTAGATCTTTCAAATGTTTGTACTACAACAACACAGGGGACAGTTTAGTTTGGTTAGATCTTTCAAATGTTTGTATTACAACAACACAGACACACAGGGGACAGTTTAGTTTGGTTAAATCTTTCAAATGTTTGTACTACAACAACACAGACACACAGGGGACAGTTTAGTTTGGTTAGATCTTTCAAATGTTTGTACTACAACAACACAGACACACAGGGGACAGTTTAGTTTGGTTAGATCTTTCAAATGTTTGTACTACAACAACACAGACACACAGGGGACAGTTTAGTTTGGTTAGATCTTTCAAATGTTTGTACTACAACAACACAGACACACAGGGGACAGTTTAGTTTGGTTAGATCTTTCAAATGTTTGTACTACAACAACACAGATACATAGGGGACAGTTTAGTTTGGTTAGATCTTTCAAATGTTTGTACTACAACAACACAGACACACAGGGGACAGTTTAGTTTGGTTAGATCTTTCAAATGTTTGTACTACAACAACACAGACACATACAGCAGGGGACAGTTTAGTTTGGTTAGATCTTTCAAATGTTTGTACTACAACAACACAGACACATACAGCAGGGGACAGTTTAGTTTGGTTAGATCTTTCAAATATTTGTACTACAACAACACAGGGGACAGTTTAGTTTGGTTAGATCTTTCAAATGTTTGTACTACAACAACACAGACACACAGGGGACAGTTTAGTTTGGTTAGATCTTTCTAATGTTTGTACTACAACAACACAGACACATAGGGGACAGTTTAGTTTGGTTAGATCTTTCAAATGTTTGTACTACAACAACACAGACACATAGGGGACAGTTTAGTTTGGTTAGATCTTTCTAATGTTTGTACTATAACAACACAGACACACAGGGGACAGTTGAGTTTGGTTAGATCTTTCAAATGTTTGTACTACAACAACACAGACACACAGGGGACAGTTTAGTTTGGTTAGATCTTTCAAATGTTTGTACTACAACAACACAGACACATAGGGGACAGTTTAGTTTGGTTAGATCTTTCAAATGTTTGTACTACAACAACACAGACACATAGGGGACAGTTGAGTTTGGTTAGATCTTTCAAATGTTTGTACTATAACAACACAGGGGACAGTTTAGTTTGGTTAGATCTTTCAAATGTTTGTACTACAACAACACTGACACACAGGGGACAGTTTAGTTTGGTTAGATCTTTCAAATGTTTGTACTACAACAACACAGACACACAGGGGACAGTTTAGTTTGGTTAGATCTTTCAAATGTTTGTACTACAACAACACAGACACACATGGGACAGTTAAGTTTGGTTAGATCTTTAATATGTTTGTACTACAACAACACAGACACACAGTGGACAGTTTAGTTTGGTTAGATTTTTCAAATGTTTGTACTACAACAATACAGACACACAGGGGACAGTTTAGTTTGGTTAGATCTTTCAAATGTTTGTACTACAACAACACAGACACACAGGGGACAGTTTAGTTTGGTTAGATCTTTCAAATGTTTGTACTACAACAACACAGACACACAGGGGACAGTTTAGTTTGGTTAGATCTTTCAAATGTTTGTACTACAACAACACAGACACATAGGGGACAGTTTAGTTTGGTTAGATCTTTCAAATGTTTGTACTACAACAACACAGACACACAGGGGACAGTTTAGTTTGGTTAGATCTTTCAAATGTTTGTACTACAACAACACAGACACACATGGGACAGTTAAGTTTGGTTAGATCTTTCAAATGTTTGTACTACAACAACACAGGGGACAGTTTAGTTTGGTTAGATCTTTCAAATGTTTGTATTACAACAACACAGACACACAGGGGACAGTTTAGTTTGGTTAAATCTTTCAAATGTTTGTACTACAACAACACAGACACACAGGGGACAGTTTAGTTTGGTTAGATCTTTCAAATGTTTGTACTACAACAACACAGACACACAGGGGACAGTTTAGTTTGGTTAGATCTTTCAAATGTTTGTACTACAACAACACAGACACACAGGGGACAGTTTAGTTTGGTTAGATCTTTCAAATGTTTGTACTACAACAACACAGACACACAGGGGACAGTTTAGTTTGGTTAGATCTTTCAAATGTTTGTACTACAACAACACAGATACATAGGGGACAGTTTAGTTTGGTTAGATCTTTCAAATGTTTGTACTACAACAACACAGACACACAGGGGACAGTTTAGTTTGGTTAGATCTTTCAAATGTTTGTACTACAACAACACAGACACATACAGCAGGGGACAGTTTAGTTTGGTTAGATCTTTCAAATGTTTGTACTACAACAACACAGACACATACAGCAGGGGACAGTTTAGTTTGGTTAGATCTTTCAAATATTTGTACTACAACAACACAGGGGACAGTTTAGTTTGGTTAGATCTTTCAAATGTTTGTACTACAACAACACAGACACACAGGGGACAGTTTAGTTTGGTTAGATCTTTCTAATGTTTGTACTACAACAACACAGACACATAGGGGACAGTTTAGTTTGGTTAGATCTTTCAAATGTTTGTACTACAACAACACAGACACATAGGGGACAGTTTAGTTTGGTTAGATCTTTCTAATGTTTGTACTATAACAACACAGACACACAGGGGACAGTTGAGTTTGGTTAGATCTTTCAAATGTTTGTACTACAACAACACAGACACACAGGGGACAGTTTAGTTTGGTTAGATCTTTCAAATGTTTGTACTACAACAACACAGACACATAGGGGACAGTTTAGTTTGGTTAGATCTTTCAAATGTTTGTACTACAACAACACAGACACATAGGGGACAGTTGAGTTTAGTTAGATCTTTCAAATGTTTGTACTATAACAACACAGGGGACAGTTTAGTTTGGTTAGATCTTTCAAATGTTTGTACTACAACAACACTGACACACAGGGGACAGTTTAGTTTGGTTAGATCTTTCAAATGTTTGTACTACAACAACACAGACACACAGGGGACAGTTTAGTTTGGTTAGATCTTTCAAATGTTTGTACTACAACAACACAGACACACATGGGACAGTTAAGTTTGGTTAGATCTTTAATATGTTTGTACTACAACAACACAGACACACAGTGGACAGTTTAGTTTGGTTAGATTTTTCAAATGTTTGTACTACAACAATACAGACACACAGGGGACAGTTTAGTTTGGTTAGATCTTTCAAATGTTTGTACTACAACAACACAGACACACAGGGGACAGTTTAGTTTGGTTAGATCTTTCAAATGTTTGTACTACAACAACACAGACACACAGGGGACAGTTTAGTTTGGTTAGATCTTTCAAATGTTTGTACTACAACAACACAGACACATAGGGGACAGTTTAGTTTGGTTAGATCTTTCAAATGTTTGTACTACAACAACACAGACACACAGGGGACAGTTGAATTTGGTTAGATTTTTCACATTTTTCTTATGTTAGCGTTTGTTGGTTGTTTTTGTAATAAACCAGCAACCCAAACATCTATTTGGAAGTTAAAAACCACAAACGCGACTTACTTGCACCTGAGGAACACCACCACCATCCACGCCCACATGGCAAGCACCACCAGTAACGACAGCGGCAGTCCATAGATCAACCACGTACTAAAGGTGACAGGTGATTTAAGCCCAACGTCCCCAAAGACTCTATAAGAAAAAAATATTTTCATTTATAGCAAGATATACTTGTATACCATCTAGTGTCAATTCTATATTATAATATTGTTTGTCTACAGATAGCTGTCACCGTTAGTATATCGGTTTTGATTTTGGATTTGATTATGTTGTGGGTATGGGACGGGTCTATCGGTAGAGAGCTGGACAGTTAACCCGTAAGTCACGAGTTCGAATCCGGGTTCTAGTCAGTAGACCGTCCCTGAGTCCACCCAACTCTGATGGGTACCTAACTCACGTTAGGAAAGTAAAGGCGGTTGGGCTTAGAGCTGACCACACTATCTCTTCATAAGCCGAGGTTACAGAAACAAGTGAACTCTACACTTGCCCCATAGACCGTCAGGTTTGAAAGGGAAACTACTTTATGTTGTGGATGGTGATTGTTGTGTTCAGTGCATTATGTTTTGAGCATTGTTACTAATATTTGTTTTAGCTCTGCATTGCTCTGCATTTTTATAGAATTTGTTCATCTGTTTCTTGTATATTCTTCCTACACATTTGGCATGTTATATTGATGATTATATTTTCCTTTATGATTGTTGATATAGGTGTTGTATGGTAGATAAATCTGTATCCTACTTCTCTTTCTTTAGGTGTGATGTGTTTACTGTGTAATTTTCTAAAGGTTTCACCAATGTCAGTTGTGTTTTGTTCTCTGGCCCATTTTATTCTTTGTATAGTTGTTGTAATTATTGTTTGACCAGAGTGTTATAATATTTTCTTTGTGTTTCCCCCCATAATGACGTTTTTAGTTTTGAAAATTGCTAGAGTGTCTGTGTAAAATTGACGTAAATCTGATCCTTCATAATGTCGTGTGGTTTGTCGCATTCGGGCAAGTGTCCATTCGGGCGTTTGTCGCATTCGGTCAAATGTCTATTCGGGCGTTTGTCGCATTCGGGCAAGTGTCCATTCGGGAAATCGGCCTTGAGGTAAACGACATTCGGGCAGGTGTTTTTCAGAAATCTGCCGTAGACTCGATACTAGATGTTCCTTCCTGGGATGCTGTAGTGTTGGTCTCAGTGATTTATATTTACTCAGGGGCGTAGCGAGGGGGGGGGGGGGGCGGGGGGTGCGGACCGCACCGGGTGACACCATTTAGGGGGGTGACACCAAGGCAAAAAATAGCAAAATATATAGAGAAAAACTTGAGGGGGGGTGCAAATCGAAAGTTTGAGGGGGGGGGGGGGTGCAAATCAAAAACTTGAGGGGGGGGTGCAAATCGAAAGTTTGAGGGGGGGGGGTGCAAATTGAAAACATGAAAGTTTGTCCCCGGGAAGGGTCGCAACGCCTCTGGGGGGTGACACCATTAAGTGCCGCACCGGGTGACACCCGACCTCGCTACGCCACTGTATTTACTATGTAGGGTTCTACTTTCCTGACTAGTGTTTTTGTCAATATTTTATAGTCGCTGTTTAGTAGGAATAGGGGTCTATAATTTCATCAACCTAGCTGTAACGGTACTCAAGTTATCGTGTTTACACACACAGACACAGACACACAGACATACGGACAAGATTGCAAAATTATGCTTTTCCGTGTCAGTGAGGTGTAAAACGTCGAGATTTTTAAAAATTTCTCGATTTTTTTTAACGATTACAAGACTTTCTCTATTCTTCGTATATACGAGAAAGTAAAAATATTAATTATTATTAGTTCTTTATTTTTTTATTTTTTTTTTTTTTTTTTATTTATATTATCTATTATGCATCACGTGGAGGCCTTTTAGACTTGAATTAATGACGCAATAGAGAATTCAGCTATCAATACATAAAGTGTAAAACAATCTAATGCTTTTATATTTAAGCTAGAGACAAATAATAATACAAATATCTATGAAATACGTATATTTTGTAAAAAATGTATAATCATATTAATAGCAGTATAATGATTTATAATAATTTTTATTTATACATTTTCTTCTTATTTTTATCAATATTTTACTATTTAGGAGACTACTAATAAAGGTTATTTCCCTTAGATGTTTTAAATGTATTTAACGTTAATTAAAACGGTGGTTCTTAACTTGGGTTCAATCAAACCCTAGGGGTTCAATTGATCAACCACAAGGGTTCGGTGGAGTTCCTTACATTAAAGATTTGGTAAGTGCGCACATGAAGCGGGTGGGGTACGGTAACTCCCCCCCCCCCTCCCAAATGGTAAGAACCAATGATCTAGAATGTAAATAAAAACGGCTACTATCATTTATTTTTCATTCAAATAGATAAAGTTTTAAAATTTTAACATCAGCATTTTTAAAACGACGCGACATTAAAGAAAATCTATATTTGGTTGTATTAAAATAGGTCGCGATTCGTGTAGACCTATATGTGGAATTGTATGTGTGGGGGGGGGGGGGGGGAGGGGGGAGTGTGTACACAGCCAAAAGTTATATATAGAGATGTTGTGGCCCAAGGAGATGTTACGTCATGTTACAGGGGTAGGAGGTGCTTAAAAAAGGGATTTATACATTACTCCCCTCCCGTTAATTACCCCAGGTTATTTTTACCAACTCTATACCCCTAGTTCAATTACCCCTTTTCAAGGACCCCCACCTTCCAGAACATTACCTGGACTGAAAAAATGCAGCAGCAAATTACCTATCCACTGACAGTTAGCCATAGTGCTGACCACATTATACCTTCATATGCCGAAATCAGTAAACATATGAACTCTACTTCATCTGCCCGATGGATCGCTACTTCTAAAGAGGAATCTATACTTTTTACTTTCTCGTATACGAAGTATAGAGGAAGTATTGTAATCGTGCAAAAAATCTAAATTAAGATTTTCACAAATCTCGACGTTTAACATCCTGAGTCGGAAAAACATAGTTTTGCAATCGTGTCCGCATGTCTATGTGTGTATGTGCATGTGTGTCTCTGAATGCAATAACTTGAGTACCGTTACAGCTAGGTTGATGAAACTTCATATAAAAGTATTATATCAAATTTGCAGTTCAGTTTAAACTTTTCAGCAATTTCCGGTAACCGGGAGTGTAACTAGTTCTACTTTTGGTTTTTAAAAAATCTATAACTTGAGTACTGTTTTAGATAGATAGACGGAATTTAACATATAAAAGTATTATATCAAATTTGCAGTTCAGTTTAAACTTTTCAGCAATTTCCGGTAACCGGGAGTGTAACTAGTTCTACTTTTGGTTTTTAAAAAATCTATAACTTGAGTACTGTTTTAGATAGATAGACGGAATTTAACATATAAGTAAAATATCTAATTCTCTGCCTTCTGTCAAATTTTGAGTAATTTCTTATGACTGAATTTAGTACTTTACGCTTTTTACGATTTCTAAAAAAAAAAAACAACCGCATATAAAGTACTAATATTCCGCACTATTATACACATATTATTTGCTGTTCACTGTGTGCGCAATTTTTCGTTTCTACGAGATTCTTTTCTACTTTTAAAAGTTTAATTTATTAAAAATTAATTAAAAAATCATTTCTATATCCAGAGTTGCCATCCCCCGTAGTGTTTTATAAGTAGGCCTATTTTCGAGAAAGTTTAGGGGAGATCTCTTTCACTTTATCTAAACGAGTTTCTATTCTATTGAAAAAAAAAGGTTAAGTAATTAAAAATTGATTAAAAATCATGTCTATATCCCGAGTTGCTTGCTATCCTCCGTAGTATTTTATAAATAGGTCTATTCTATAAAGTTTAGGGGAGATCACTCCCGCTTTATTTTTACTTACTTCTGTGCCGCTGCAAACAGGACAAGGTTCGGCCCAGTTCCCGTCAGGCTGGCGATACCTCCGATGTTGGCGGCGTACGCTGCCGTCAGAGACAACGCCTTGCTCAGTCTCAGAAACTCAGCGTCGGCCCGTTCCTGATCTCGTTTATGCTTGAGTGCGTCAGGTGATTTGGGGTCACTGGGGGATAAAAATAGATTTTAGTGCGAGCTCTTCATAAAGAGAGGGGTGAAATTATATATCTAACCCCCGCACCTCACCTGTGTAAATTTCCGTTAGTGATGGCTTTCTTGGACTTCTCGTTGATGTCCATGTCCTTGAACTGCTGCAGCAAGGCCTGAACGATGGTCATCATCATGGCCGTCGTGGCCGTGTTGGAGATCCACATGGACAGGAACCACGTAACCAGCATTATACCAAACAGCAGACTTCAAAGAGAAAAGATAGATTAATTAAATTTTTTTACAAATTAAAAATAAAAGGCGTGGTCGAGTTGGTAAAGCTTATGGTGGATAAACCGAAATGTCTCGAGTTCGAACCCTCGGGCAGATGAAGCTTGATAGCTAGAGACAACAACTTTTCTAGGAGAGACTCCAAAATCAAACAACTGCTGCCTTGTTTGCTCTTGGTTGGACAAAGGCTATGGAAGCAAAAAAAGAAAAGCAGGCTGAAATTGGAGTCTACGACCTGTATGACGCATGACATGTTGACACTTATACTTAATTGTGTTAGTGGGAGTTCCTTCCAACACTAAAATTAAGAACGAAGAAGAAGAAAGGTAACTTTTGTAAAGATGAAAAGGTTAGTATATTGTTCATAATTTTAAAACCATTAGGTGGACGAAATAGGTCTAATCTGTTGATAAAAAACAATTGTAATTTTCGAATTAGTAAATTTCTGCTCATTACATCTATTATTTTAAAGATTCATCAACGTTGGTTTGAGATAAGTAAAGTAAAAATTTCCCTGATCAGATGTAACCATCCATATGGTAGGTGAAGTAGAGTTCATTTGCTTTTTGACCTCGCAATACGGAGAGATGGTGTTGTCAGCACTTTGCCCAACCGCCTTTACTTTCCCCAACGTTAAGTCAGGTACCCATCAGAGCTGGGTGGGCTCAGTGACGTCCTACAGACTCAAGACTGGACTGAGATCCGAACCGGAGACCTTCACGTTGTTAGATTACTCAGGATACATTTTCTCGCATGTTACTTATTCTAACGTTAGCCTTTGGTCGAAACACGACACATTATGTACATTTTTTAAGACATTAGTTCTTTTTTTTTTTGTTGAAAAAAATTGGTCCGTGTTGAATAAACATTGGTTTGTAAGTGTGACTAATGCAGCAATTTAAAAAAAAATGAAACCCACCATTTGGGCTCGGCACCGACTATCTTCAACACCATCAGTGCTATTCTCTTGTGGACGTTCCAGACCTCGATTGCTATGGCAACCAGAAGACCGCCTATAAACAACATGGACGTGTCCTGTTAGGAAAGCAAATAGAGTGAACGTCCATGCTGTCTAAGTTTTGTATTAAAGGTAGATAATAAAATAAGTGACCGCCCTTGTTGTATTAGAGGCATATAGTAGGATAGAGTGACTGCCATTGTTGTATTAGATTCTGATTGACCGACCTTGTATTGTAGGCAGATAATAGATTAGAGAGACCGCCCTTGTAAATAAGGTTGTATTAGAGGCAGATAATCAAACAGAAAAAAAATGACACAAATTGTTTTTGAACATGTAATATCGACTGTTATCATTTTACGATTTATAGATTCAAAAAAGTAAATAATAAATTAAGTGTCTTTAGAACAGCGGTTTCTTGTGAACTGATGGCAAGTCTTAACAACAAAACAAAGTAATCTCCAAGCCTACATTGAAGTAAGCAGCTGACGTGTCTTTGGCTGACATGACCCCCATTGCAGGTAACAGGACGACAGGTGCCAATGACGTCACGGCGATGGGCAGCGCCTCTGTGATCCAGAAGACCGCCATGACAGCTATGACGTAACCGCATCTTGCCTGTCTCTGGTGCTGTAGGTGTGGGTTTAAAACGTTGACATTAGAAAGGTTGACATTAGAAAGGTTGACATTAGAAAGGTTGACATTAGAAAGGTTGACATTAGAAAGGTTGACATTAGAAAGGTTGACATTAGAAAGGTTGACATTTGAAAGGTTGACATTAGAAAGGTTGACTTTAGAAAGGTTGACTTTAGAAAGGTTGACATTAGAAAGGTTGACATTAGAAAGGTTGACATTTGAAAGGTTGACATTAGAAAGGTTGACATTAGAAAGATTGCCGTTAGAAAGGTTGACATTAGAAAGGTTGACATTTGAAAGGTTGACATTAGAAAGGTTGACATTAGAAAAGTTGGCATTAGAAAGGTTGACATTAGAAAGGTTGACATTAGAAAGAATGACATTAGAGAGGTTGACATTAGAAAGGTTGACATTAGAAAGGTTGACATTAGAAAGGTTGACATTAGAAAGGTTGACATTAGAAAGGTTGACATTAGAAAGGTTGACATTAGAAAGGTTGACATTAGAAAGGTTGACATTAGAAAGGTTGACATTAGGAAAGTTGACATTAGAAAGGTTGACATTAGAAAGGTTGACATTAGAAAGGTTGACATTAGGAAGGTTGACATCAGAAAGGTTGACATTAGAAAGGTTGACATTAGAAAGGTTGACATTAGAAAGGTTGACATTAGGAAAGTTGACATTAGAAAGGTTGACATTAGAAAGGTTGACATTAGAAAGGTTGACATTAGAAAGGTTGACATTAGAAAAGTTGACATTAGAAAGGTTGACATTAGAAAGGTTGACATTAGAAAAGTTGACATTAGAGAAGTTGACAATAGAAAAGTTGACATTAGAAAAGTTGACATTAGAAAGGTGGACATTAGAAAGGTTGACATTTGAAAGGTTGCCATTAGAAAGGTTGACATTAGAAAGGTTGACATTAGAAAGGTTGACATTAGAAAGGTTGACATTAGAAAGGTTGACATTAGAGTGGATGACATTAGAGAAGTTGACATTAGAGAAGTTGACATTAGAAAGGTTGACATTAGAAAGGTTGACATTAGAAAGGTTGACATTAGAAAGGTTGACATTAGAAAGTTTGACATTAGAGTGGATGACATTAGAGAAGTTGACATTAGAAAGGTTGACATTAGAAAGGTTGACATTAGAAAGGTGGACATTAGAGTGGATGACATTAGAGAAGTTGACATTAGAGAAGTTGACATTAGAAAGGTTGACATTAGAAAGGTTGACATTAGAAAGGTTGACATTAGAAAGGTTGACATTAGAAAGGTTGACATTAGAAAGGTTGACATTAGAAAGGTTGACATTAGAAAGAATGACATTAGAAAGGTTGACATTAGAAAGGTTGACATTAGAAAAGTTGACATTAGAAAGGTTGACATTAGAAAGGTTGACATTAGAAAGGTTGACATTAGAAAGGTTGACATTAAAAAAGTTGACTTAAGAAAGGTTGAGATTTGAAAGGTTGACATTAGGAAGGTTGACATTTGAAAGGTTGACATTAGAAAGCTTGACAATAGAAAGGTTGACATTAGAAAGGTTGACATTAGAAAGGTTGACATTAGAAAGGTTGACATTAGAAAGGTTGACATTAGAAAGGTTGACATTAGAAAGGTTGACATTAGAAAGGTCGAAATTAGAAAAGTTGACATTAGAAACGTTGACATTAGAAAGGTTGACATTAGAAAGGTTGACATTAGAAAGGTTGACATTAGAAAGGTTGACATTAGAAAGGTTGACATTATAAAGGTTGGCTTTAGAAAGGTTGACATTAGAAAGGTTGACATTAGAAAGTTTGACATTAGAAAGGTTGACATTAGAAAGAATGACATTAGAAAGGTTGACATTAGAAAGGTTGACATTAGAAAAGTTGACATTAGAAAGGTTGACATTAGAAAGGTTGACATTTGAAAGGTTGACATTAGAAAGGTTGACATTAAAAAAGTTGACTTAAGAAAGGTTGAGATTTGAAAGGTTGACATTAGGAAGGTTGACATTTGAAAGGTTGACATTAGAAAGCTTGACAATAGAAAGGTTGACATTAGAAAGGTTGACATTAGAAAGGTTGACATTAGAAAGGTTGACATTAGAAAGGTTGACATTAGAAAGGTTGACATTAGAAAGGTTGACATTAGAAAGGTCGAAATTAGAAAAGTTGACATTAGAAACGTTGACATTAGAAAGGTTGACATTAGAAAGGTTGACATTAGAAAGGTTGACATTAAAAAGGTTGACATTAGAAAGGTTGACATTAGAAAGGTCGAAATTAGAAAAGTTGACATTAGAAACGTTGACATTAGAAAGGTTGACATTAGAAAGGTTGACATTAGAAAGGTTGACATTAGAAAGGTTGACATTAGAAAGGTTGACATTATAAAGGTTGGCTTTAGAAAGGTTGACATTAGAAAGGTTGACATTAGAAAGTTTGACATTAGAAAGGTTGACATTAGAAAGAATGACATTAGAAAGGTTGAGATTAGAAAGGTTGACATTAGAAAAGTTGACATTAGAAAGGTTGACATTAGAAAGGTTGACATTAGAAAGGTTGACATTAGAAAGGTTGACATTAAAAAAGTTGACTTAAGAAAGGTTGAGATTTGAAAGGTTGACATTAGGAAGGTTGACATTTGAAAGGTTGACATTAGAAAGCTTGACAATAGAAAGGTTGACATTAGAAAGGTTGACATTAGAAAGGTTGACATTAGAAAGGTTGACATTAGAAAGGTTGACATTAGAAAGGTTGACATTAGAAAGGTTGACATAAGGAAGGTTGACATAAGAAAGGTTGATGTAAAAGTTTAATTGGAAAAAAAAATCTACATTAAAAATGATGACATTAGAAAAGTTTACAGTAAAGATTAAGAATGTCAGTAGTTTAGATAGCTAATACGCCTTGAGTACTTTGATATAGACCGTTGATAGAAACAAAATTTCACACAAATCTGCTCATGAAAGGTCCACTAATTAAATCAATTAGATAGTTACCTTATCATCCACAGATAGAAATATGGGTAGAAAGACGAGGGGCGTGGCTATGATGACCACGAGGTACCACCAGGAGGTCACGTGCTTTAGCAGTGAGACCTGCTCCACAGGTGATGACTCAACGGTCACTTCACTGTCCATGTTGTTGCTTGTGCTCACGCTGGGGCTAGGGTTGAGAGAAGGAAAAACATGTTGATAATACTTTAATTCAGACTTTATTGCAGATTAAAATAATTAACGCTTAGATTTATACTGTAGATAATTCTTGTAATTCTTGACCAACATTTTTTTCCTTAATCGGACGGCGTGGCCTAGTCATTGAAAGCTAACCCGAATTGAGTTTCTTACAGGCACCTCTTCGGGGGGGGGGGGGGGGGGCTCTGTCTCCCCCCCCCCCCGAAGAAAGTATACCGCCCCCCCCCCCCTCCAAATGGAATTTATATAGACAATAAATACTTTTAACAGTGTCGTCGACCCCCCCCCCCCCCCCACCCCGAAAATTTTAGTCCGTTCCCCCGAAAATTTCAAGTGCAAGAAACACTGAATCTCGAGTTCGAATCCGTGTTTAAGACAGTAGAATGTCCCTGAGTCAACCCAGCTCTCATGGGTTCCCCTCTAAAGGGAAAAGGCTAGTGTGCAACTTGTATTTTATGTGCGCGGTGTTTTAAAATCTTATGCAAGGATATACGTTTTTTACAAAATGACTGCGCGGGATATCCAAAACTACTGCGCGGCCGCGCTACCGCGCAGCTTAGAGGGAACACTGTTAACTAGCTGCTTTTATTCTAGACATATATACAATTATAAACGCGGTGTTAAGGGATAGAGGGGGGTCAAATTATTTCCCCCAATGTGCATTATCGGGGGTGGGGGCACTTGACATTTACAGGGGGGGGCGGACACAGTTAAAAGTATAAATTCCATTTCATACAGGGGAGGGGGGGGGGGGGTGGAGGGGGGGGGGGTATAGTATTTCTTCGGGGCTTCCCCGAAGAGATGTCTGGAAGAAACTCAGCAAGTGATGTGGTACGTATTGTAGACCAATACGATGTTAGCTTCTAATCTAGTCCATCGACTGGTTCTTTATTGAACTCTGAACCTCAAAGCTGACACAGTAGATATTAGAGTTGTGATTTCCCATTGGCTGTTCGCAGTGAGAGAGTAATACATTCTTATATCTACTTGTTGAGGAAGGCTGTTTGAGAAAAAAACTGTTGTGACGTCATTTCCGTTTGTCAACTTAAAATACGAGTGTTTTTTCCATTGGTTAGTTATAAGTTATAAAACAAAAGTCGTAACATACACTATGAGGTTATGTTAATAAGTTTAAATCATGCATGATATGCATAATAAATAAACTTTAATCCGCAATAATTAATAATACAACGAATTACATTATTGTTTTATAGGTTTTGACGATTTGAGATGTTGAAAAATAAGAATTATTTTGCATTGAATATCACTTTACATAAAATATAACATAAGGGAAATAACCTATTATCGTCATCTCAATTGTAGTTACAGTTAAACACATTTTTATTGTTTTATATATAAAAGAGTAATATTAATTATGAATTATTACTGATAACAAGTTAGATGAGACTATCTGTTTACTTTATATAATTCATAGATGTTAGACGTATCAACGTACTCTAGTTAAAACAAGAAAACATTATCTATTTTATATTCTGTTCTTGTACAGAAATGAGCATAAATTGTATCTAATATTCACATCATAATTCCTCCCTTTATCCTCTTTTCACGTTCGTAGGACTGATTAAGTCAGTCAGTCTTAAAAAAAAAAATTCCCCCTCTACCCCCTGTCCCCTCAGCCCACCACGCTGATAAAAAAAAATCCATTGAATCATCATTTAATTACACATTTGCATTTTCAGTTTCAGGTTTTTTTTTTTTATATATTTAGACGTTTTGTATTAGATCTAAGTATAAGTAAACCATCTTAAATGAATGAAAGTAGGTTTCAAGTAAGAAAGAAATATTACTATTGTAAATCTGTGTCAGTCCTCACAAGCCGGTGATGAAAACTGTAATACTAAAGCGAACACACACAACTGACGCTGTAAATTACATGTCTGAGGCCAATAAAAAAAAAAAAAAAAAAAAAAAAAAAAAGTTCGTAGGACTGATTTTTAATAGTTATAAGTGTGTGTCGAATGAACGACGACACAAATACACACAAACAGATGCACACACTCGCATATATATATATATATATATATATATATATATATATATATATATATATATATATATATATATATATATATATATATATATATATATAATTAGTACAACTGAATTTAACAGAGAAAATAAAATGGTCAGCATCTTAACAATTACAACTCACCCTGTTTCTGTTTTCTCTCCCCTCCCATTGGAAGCCGGAGCAACCTTTCCCACCGCCTCCGGCTTGGAGTCGGGCTCCAACTCCCCAACAGGATACTCCTGCTGTGTGACGGGCGGGCGGGGCATGTAGGAGGTGAGAGACACAGGTGAAGGCCATCTCGGTGAGCTGGACTTGAGGGGCTCGTCGTTGGCTTCCATGGCAACAGGGTCAAGGTGAGTTGCGGGACTTGTCACGGGTTATTTATAGCACGGGTCTGACGTTTCATCACGTGACTAGCATCAATGGACAGACGCCATATTGGAGGAAGCTCAAAAACTTTATTTCTGGAGAAGAAAGTTGTGAAAAAAATCAGAATTCGCGACTTATGGGTCAGCAGCCTAGGGCCCTACCATTAGACCACGCTATCCCATGCACCGACTATACAGACAATGAAATATATTTAAAAAATTACAATTACATGTATATGAAAAGTAAACCCGTGATAGTTAATTAATATCATTTAGTAGACGCCGTTACAGTGTGTGACCTGTATCCAGAGGCGCAAATAGGGGAGGGTGGGTGGGGCGCAAACCCTAGGGTGGGGGAGCCAAACACGGTAGAAAAAAACCTCAATTTGAGCTGCATTCATATTTCAATGTACGCAATCGAAGTCGAGAAAATAGACTGGGAAATGGCTTTACAGAATGATTTCAATGTTTTCTACATCAATAGTGTGATAAACAAAAAAAAAAATGATTGTGGCTGGTAAACATCGCCACTATTTAAAAAAAAAAGGGGTGGGGGGGGGGGGGGGTTCAACGTGAATAAATATATCAACATGGGAGGCGCAACAGTGATAGTTTGCCCAGAGAGCCGTAATGGGTCGCTACACCTATGCCTGTATCAGCCGATATTGATTGCTTTAGCACCTGGACCAGGTATAGGAGAAGACAACCATGCACTCGCATATTATTTATACTTTGTTTTTTTTTTTTGGATATCGCCGACACGTTATTAATTAAATATTAATTAGAACATTAGAGTTCAGCTTACACGACTTTAAAAGTCGGTGCATATCAGCGTGTAAGTGTAAGTAATGTTAAAACTAACACGGGGTGTAGTGAGTCACATTGATCCTCACACACACACACACATACACACACACAAACACACACACACGTATGCATGGATAGATGCACACATAAGCGCGCGCACACATACTCACGCACGTACACATACACACACACACAGATTAACACACACACACACACACACTTATCGCACTCATTCTTATTACCAGCCAGAACGTCACTGTGATACATATCTACCGAAAAGCATCTACCATCCCCCCCTTCCCCCCCCCCCCCCCCCCGAAGGAAATATAATTTATTTAGAAAATATATAGTTTTACCAGTGTCCACCCTCGGAAAATTTAGTCCTCTAAACTTTTCAAGTGACCCCCCCCCTCAATCTCGGAAAATAGAGTAAAAGAAATACTGGCCCCCCCACCCCCTCTCCCCTTCCCGTAATAAGCTTGTCCTCGTTTATGGACAGCCACTTGGCAGAAAGCCAAAACGTAATTTTATAATTACTTGTCACGTTGGACAATAATCAAATTTTTAATTAAGGTCAACATGACCTGTGTGGTGCGCCACGATCGTTGTCTGTTGTCGTTGTTGTATCCGTCATTCACTGGGAGTGATGTTGTACTGCTCGACAGTGGTACAACGTTCTTGTTGTACCGATCATTCACTGGGAGTGATGTTGTACTGCTCGACAGTGGTACAACGTTCTTGTTGTACCGATCATTCACTGGGAGTGATGTTGTACTGCTCGACAGTGGTACAACATTCTTGTTGTACCGATCATTCACTGGGAGTGATGTTGTACTGCTCGACAGTGGTACAACGTTCTTGTTGTACCGATCATTCACTGGGAGTGATGTTGTACTGCTCGACATTGGTACAACGTTCTTGTTGTATCAATCATTCACTGGTACAGTGATACAAGTACGCCAAATACATACCAACTAATCTTCCAGCCTTTATAAGTAAACTATCACTTTAATTCATTTACACCAACAACCTACCATGTGTAACAAAATACATCATGTACATAAACGACAACCCCTATATACAACAACTATTCTAAGCACCAACACCTACCATTTCTTCACAGAACACAGGTAGCTCCTGTCTACGAAACACTGTGCCATTTAAACAACCACACCGCTCTTGTGAAACTCGTATTGTCTTTCACAGTTGAGATCTGTAATTCAATTACTAGCTGCTTTAAAAGTACATTGCTACGGGCCACCGAAGCTAAACGCTCCACGAGAGCCCCCGTGTCATTATTGTTACTGTTATTGTTTTTTTGCATTGTTTTGTTATTCTAGTGTTTAGAAAGATACACAGTGTAACATATTTCCCTACATACATACACACATACCGGCGAATGACAGATGGTGCAAAATTAGAATACCATGACGTCATAATTCCATAACGCAGAAACAAAAACGGTAAATCCGATATAATAAAGGGCTTATTTTGTCTGACACGTATGTAAGTAACTCGAATTATTTTATAAAGATTTTGTATAGGAAAGCTGTAATCTCTTTGATAAAATAGGTCTTTAGATTTTATTGTATTATATTTTCTTTATTAGTTTGTTATATTTAAAAAAAAAAAAAGATTTTTTATTTACTAAGCAATACTTTTAAAATACTGTTTTATACATGTAATGATAATATATCTTTATATATATAAATGAAAGTATGTATATGGGTCTGTTTGTCTGTCCTTTATGCACTACAACACCGTTCATCCGATCACCATGAAACTTTGAGGTGTTGTTGGGAATATTCCTGGGAAATTAAAATTTCGGAGGGGCGGCGCCCCGGTAGGATGCGATTTTTTTCGAAATATACGGTATAAGGAAATAAAAGCTTGATGCGGCTTGACACCGTTCATGCGAGTGCCGTAAAACTTTGGGGAGTTGATGAGAATACTCATGGGAAGGTTTCTACGAAAATAAAATTTAAATTTTCCATTGCGCTCCGCACACGGGGTCAGGGGTACTACTTGATTCAATGGTACAAGTGCAACAGGCGCATACGCCGGCGCCTCGGCAGTTGAATGACCATGAGCACCCCGGGCTCCGCTTGAGCACTGTGGCGCCTACGTTCGTATTATAGGGAGCTCCGGCGCCCCAAAACGGAGACGATTTGTGGCCTTGGCCTCCCCAGAAAGCACTATGATGTCTACGTTCGTTTAAAAGGGTCTGATAACCGAAGGATACGATGGGGGTACTATAATAATTCACTAAATCGAATAAGGCGCGCCCGCAAGTGCACTGGTGGTCGGGTGACCCGGAGCACCCGGGACTCCATGTGAGCACTATTGCCTTACATTAGATTTAAATAGCACATTACAATAGGGACACAGTGGCACTCGACAGTCGATGATTAAACAGATCCAAGGGCCGTAACCGTCTCTCTTGCCGTAGTGTCACCGGTTGCTCCCGAGAGAACCCACTGACCTTTGACCCTTGGGCGGTGGCTGAGGTGTGTCCTACCTCACTGTTACAGAGCGTGATTAACGTACACTTAAGGTTTTCCTACAGCACGCCCTAGACATCTGGACGGTAATGTGGACAGTCCCACGCCCTGACAGATATGATACTAGAAACACAGCGCCCTCTATGTTTACATTTAATTAACTCAATTCTTGAAAGCAATGTCACACGTCTAATAATACACGATTTGTAATACGTTAAGTGTCGTCAGACTACTTCTAAAATAACTATTAGAGCCCCCCCCCGAATGACGCAATGCTCGTTTGTTTTTACATGATTTAATCAGAAGATCGGAAATTGAGTTCACGCGTCTAAAAATAGGGCCTACACGATTAGTAATGCATTGATGAAATATTAAAATATTGCATGAGCCTTTCGATTGAGACCGCAGCAACGCGCGGGACAGGTACGCTAGTAATATATAACTAATAACTTTCTGGTTAAAATGAAATTATTACCAAGATGAGTTCTTGTGTTTTTAAAAAATATCTTTAGTTTTTAATAAATAGCCACTGCCAAACTTATTTTGTTATCAAAGTATCACACAGATAACCTTTAATTCAAATGGTATACGGAGTGGGAATATAAAGAAAAAGAATATTTAAAGTATTATTTTTATTTAAACCATGCCTGTCGCCACATATACTGTAGAAAATGTCCCCCATTGTTGAAATGTGAGTGTTGCATATTAACACATGGTACATGGTCCATGTTGGTCTGAAAACAGGAATTCTCATGTGTGGTTAATGTTAAATGTTCAAATGACTTTTCCAAACAGTTTCATAAGGAGACCATTTCAAAATTGCTATGGTTATCTTCAATATCGATGCCGAGATAACGGTTGAACGGCAGTCGTGCGTAATAAAACATTAGATAATCGTTGGATGGTACCGCACTTTAGTGTGTATATATATATATATATATATATATATATATATATATATATATATATATATATATATATATATATATATATATATATATATATATATATATATATATATATATATATATATATCATTGCCATTTTAACGTTGGAATGTGTGCCTCTGTTAGTTAAGTACCCCTTCGAACCTGACGGTCCTTTCGGCAGGTAGAGTTCAAATATTACAGTGACCTCAGCTTGTGAAAAAGAGTATCGTCAGCTGGGTGGATTAAGGCACAATAAAATCGTTTCATTTTTAAACCATTTTTTCCCATCAAAAAGTATCCTTAGTAACTGAGCTGAAAAACTGGTGAATCTCACGAAGCAATCAATTTTTATGCCTGTCTTACGCCAAGCTTTGCAGCTAGTCTAAGTGAGAATCTTCAACAAATCAGGATCGAAAATCACTACATCAATTAGTTTGATTAAGAAATAAAAAAAATATTTCTTACAACACTACATTTTTAAAAGTTCACCAGCGAAAGTGAACTTCTATTCAAGGCATTGACCTCCTTAGTCTTGTATCGCATATTAGCTTTTACTTAAAAACAGGTAATAATTTTAATAATTGTTCCAATATGAAAGAAAACCGTTCAGATCCTAATTTTATTGTGGCGGAGCATGAAGTAGATGTAGAGAGGTTTCTACACATCAAAGACTCACGTATCATGTTGACTGTGTTACAAGGTGGACGGCACATGGGTATAGGGGGGGGGGATTTTTGTATCACACACTACTTGTGTTAAGGGTGGTGTTAAGAAGTTTGCAACTGGTGTGGTTTTTGTGTACAGATGTTATAGGTGAGCCTGGGGTTGGGGGGGGGGGGTATTATTGTGAATAGAGTGCTGTTGTAGTGTGTAGGGTATGCGAGAGTGGGGTTGTTATGGTTAGTGGTAGCTGTTAAACTGTGTTGGAGGTCAGGGGTGTGGTCAGTGTGTTGAGCGATGGCTGTGTTGGAGGTCAGGGGTGGGGTCAGTGTGTTGAGCGGTGGTTGTGTTGGAGGTCAGGGTCGGGGTCAGTGTGTTGAGTGGTGGCTATGTTGGAGGTCAGGGGTGGGGTCAGTGTGTTGAGTGGTGGCTATGTTGGAGGTCAGGGGTGGGGTCAGTGTGTTGAGCGATGGTTGTGTTGGAGGTCAGGGGTGGGGTCAGTGTGTTGAGCGGTGGCTGTGTTGGAGGTCAGGGGTGGGGTCAGTGTGTTGAGCGGTGGCTATATGAGTTGTGGGTAAGGTGTGTGTGTGAGTGGGTGTCATATTTGTCAATGGTGTATCTTATTGAGTATGGGTGAGGTGGGGTGGGTTATATATGGTGTGTGGATGGCTGTTATGATGGTTGTGGGAGGGGGAGTGGCTTATATAATACGGCAGTGGTGAGTAAGCCCATAGAAAGTACAGAATTGTCACGGAGGGTGCCTTAGTTTTTGCTGAATACTAAAAAGTGGGCAGCAAATACGGGCATATAATGACTGATAATGACAGTTTTTAAATTCACAAAAAGTAAGTAAATAAATGTAACTTAAATTTTTAACCTAACAACGAAAGCGTTGGTGGCATAATGTTATGGTTCATGTGAGTAAGGGGGGGGGGGGCAATAACTATTGCTCTCGTAAAAACATTTTCTTAGTTGTGACCTTAACGCTTCAGCTGGCGGAGTTTTCAGGCGGGTTCAAGTCAGTAGACATTTCTCTTTACAAGCCGGACATGACTGACCGGAGGATTTTTCCTCAAGACCTAAGCGGTGTCTCTGATTGGTCAGTTGAAGTAGACCATACCGACCACTCTAAACCTACCCTAACTAATCAAGATAACGACAGCGATATGTCTCTTCTAGTAGAGAGAGTACAAACTTGAGTGAAGAAAGTTGAAGGTTAGTCTTGTTTTCATGCTCGATATCCTGGTTTCCATAGTAAGGATAGAGAGGCGGGGTTGAGTGTGTATTTACTAATAATATAAACTAATCAGCCGTACACAATTTATTTCTTAAATTATAACAATTCAAAACGGAACAGAAAATTTTAAAACTGAATTATATTCTCCAAATATAATAAGTGTATGACTAAAAAATAAAATATTGATGGTACATACTCCGTTGAATTTAAACCATTAATCTAAAATAAATGTGTAAAAACCCAACGTGTTTTTATAATGTTAAAAGTTTGGTATAATTAAGAAGTCATCGTTACGAGTAGCATAAAACACGCAATGAAGTGAAAAATGTTGCAAACTTTAATCAAATCTAAATATTGCGTCGAACTGATAAAGTCAATGCATCCTCTTGAGTATGTTTATTTTCTTCTTGGTACCATCAGTGTTTCATTAAGACTTTTTTCTCCGGGGAGAGGGGGGGGGGGCATATTTTTCAGGGACAGGACGGGATATAAATTCCATTTCGTTCGGAGTGGGGTGGGGGGAAAGGGGTCGGGAAGCTTCCTTCGGGGGGACAACCCCCTCTCCCCTCACGAAGAGATGCCTGAAAGAAACTCTGGGTGCCGGGTGCATGTCCAACTATGCTACATGCACGTATTCTCGCCAGTTCTGTAACTGCTTGTCGTAATGAGGATTCATGTCCTCTACATTGAAAAATCGAACCTTCTTCACGCTGAATTTGTAGCTACATTTCGTAGTTTTCTAAACTAAAAATAGTTTTAGAAAAGTGTGCACCCTTCTACCCTAATTATTACTTATATACATACTATGCATATATACACCGTATTTAATACCTATATATATATATATATATATATATATATATATATATATATATATATATATATATATAATCATATACATAAACGTATGAAAAGGCAGGATGTATGCATTGTTGTAAACACGGAAAACACTTTTCCTAGAAACACCAAACAAAAAGTGTTTTGAACACAAAACCACTTCTGTTGAAAATCCGTATTTAGAGATCAGAAATAACCTATGAATAAAAAGCTTATCCATGCTACAAGGCTAAACGAACCTACCTGTGTTATGCTATAGCCTGGTGTCTCATTCAGTCTACGTTTGTTCAAATATTCCTAAGTATTCTATGTCAATGTTTTGTTCAGTGAAAACAACACTCAATACGCCATCCTGCTTTGATAAGCTTCAAGTTAACAGTCCTATTAAGTCAATAAATAACATTTGGAAATTATCACTCATGTCTCACTGACAAAAGCTGTTCGCCTAAAATCAACAACTTGTTTGTTTCACTGTACCTAAAATCTACACTTTCAACTGTCCTGCTCCCCCACCCCTCTTGTCCCTACTCTCCGCCCCCCCCCCCCCACCCCAAAAATCTAAAGGTAAATTTCTGTCGTATCCTGTTAAAGAACAAACACGTCCTATTTTCAGATTTAAAAAAAAAAAATAGCTTTGGCGTCTTTTATTAATGTCAGTCGTCTGTCAGTCGTCTATCAGTCACTGGCTTCTCCTGCCTTTCACTGACACACAACTGTCAGTTATAAGCAGTCAGCTGTCCTCAGCGGCATATTACTCTCTCCCTGTAGCAGAATACATCAACATTCTAGGGGGCGTAGGTTTATCAACTTTCTAGGGGCCGGACTTTTATCAACTTTCTAGGGCCCGGACTTTTATCAACTTTCTAGGTGGCCGGACTTATATCAACTTTCTAGGGCCCGGACTTTTATCAACTTTCTAGGTGGCCGGACTTATATCAACTTTCTAGGGTTCGGACTTATATCAACTTTCTAGGGGCCGGACTTTTATCAACTTTCTAGGGCCCGGACTTTTATCAACTTTCTAGGGGCCGGATTTTTATTAACTTTCTAGGGGCCGGACTTTTATCAACTTTCTAGGGGCCGGACTTTTATCAACTTTCTAGGGCCCGGACTTATATCAACTTTCTAGGGCCCGGACTTTTATCAACTTTCTAGGGCCCGGACTTATATTAACTTTCTAGGGCCCGGACTTTTATCAACTTTCTAGGGCCCGGACTTTTATCAACTTTCTAGGGGCCGGACTTTTATTAACTTTCTAGGGGCCGGAATTTTATCAACTTTCTAGGGGTCGGACTTTTATTAACTTTCTAGGGGCCGGACTTTTATTAACTTTCTAGGGGTCGGACTTTTATCAACTTTCTAGGGGGCCGGATTTTTATCAACTTTCTAGGGGCCGGATTTTTATCAACTTTCTAGGGGGCCGGATTTTTATCAACTTTCTAGGGGGCCGGATTTTTATAACCTTTCTAGGGGGCCGGATTTTTATCAACTTTCTAGGGGGCCGGATTTTTATCAACTTTCTAGGGGGCCGGATTTTTATCAACTTTCTAGGGGGCCGGATTTTTATCAACTTTCTAGGGGGCCGGATTTTTATCAACTTTCTAGGGGGCCGGATTTTTATCAACTTTCTAGGGGGCCGGATTTTTATCAACTTTCTAGGGGGCCGGATTTTTATCAACTTTCTAGGGGCCGGATTTTTATCAACTTTCTAGGGGGCCGGATTTTTATCAACTTTCTAGGGGGCCGGATTTTTATCAACTTTCTAGGGGGCCGGATTTTTATCAACTTTCTAGGGGGCCGGAGTTTTATCAACTTTCTAGGGGGCCGGATTTTTATCAACTTTCTAGGGGGCCGGATTTTTATCAACTTTGTAGGGGGCCGGATTTTTATCAACTTTCTAGGGGGCCGGATTTTTATCAACTTTCTAGGGGCCGGATTTTTATCAACTTTCTAGGGGGCCGGATTTTTATCAACTTTCTAGGGGGCCGGATTTTTATCAACTTTCTTGGGGGCCGGATTTTTATCAACTTTCTAGGGGGCCGGATTTTTATCAACTTTCTAGGGGGCCGGATTTTTATCAACTTTCTAGGGGCCGGATTTTTATCAACTTTCTAGGGGGCCGGATTTTTATCAACTTTCTAGGGGGCCGGATTTTTATCGACTTTCTAGGGGGACGGACATATCAACTTTCTAGGGGCCGGACTTTTGGCAAAAATTAAAAATTCAGAATCTGATTTTCCCCCTCCCCCTTTTTAAAAAGATCACATTGATAGAAACATACTTTTTAGTTTACCCACCCACCCCCCGATTGTGCTATTCTTTTATATTTGATGAGGGGGGGGGGGTTAATGTTAGTTGGAGATGATTTCGATATTTTTCCACCCATTTATGTTCATTAATGACGAAACGGCTAAAGAAAAGGCTAAAAAAACTATACTACGTAAACTATCACAGGATCTAGAGCAAGCTATACACTAATAATTTTCTTATAGTCGGCCTATACGTCAGTGCTAGTATGTTATTTGGTCACTTGGGCCAGTTGGGTAAGGGGGGGAGGGGGAGGTCAGTGGGGTCAGGCAACAGATGGGTCAGTGGGGTCAGGTAAAAGGTGGGTCAGTGGGGTCAGGCAACAGGTGGGTCAGTGGGGTCAGGTTAAAGGTGGGTCAGTGGGGTCAGGCAACAGATGGGTCAGTGGGGTCAGGTAAAAGGTGGGTCAGTGTGGTCAGGCAACAGATGGGTCAGTGGGGTCAGGTAACAGGTGGGTCAGTGGGGTCAGGTAACAGGTGGGTCAGTGGGGTCAGGCAACAGGTGGGTCAGTGGGGTCAGGCAACAGATGGGTCAGTGGGGTCAGGTAAAAGGTGGGTCAGTGGGGTCAGGCAACAGGTGGGTCAGTGGGGTCAGGTTAAAGGTGGGTCAGTGGGGTCAGGCAACAGATGGGTCAGTGGGGTCAGGTAAAAGGTGGGTCAGTGTGGTCAGGCAACAGATGGGTCAGTGGGGTCAGGTAAAAGGTGGGTCAGTGGGGTCAGGCAACAGGTGGGTCAGTGGGGTCAGGCAACAGGTGAGTCAGTGGGGTCAACAACAGGTGGGTCAGAGGGGTCAGGCAACAGGTGAGTCAGTGGGGTCAGGCAACAGTTGGATCAGTGGGGTCAGGTAACAGGTGGGTCAGTGTGGTCAGGTAACAGGTGGGTCATTGGGGGTCAGTGGGTTCAGGCAACAGGTGGGTCAGTGGGGTCAGGCAATAGGTGGGTCAGTGGGGTCAGGCAACAGGTGGGTCAGTGGGGTCAGGCAATATGTGGGTCAGTGGGGTCAGGCAACAGGTGGGTCAGTGGGGTCAGGCAATAGGTGGGTCAGTGGGGTCAGGCAACAGGTGGGTCAGTGGGGTCAGGCAATAGGTGGGTCAGTGGGGTCAGGCAACAGGGGGGTCAGTGGGGTCAGTGGGGTCGGGCAACAGGTGGGTCAGTGGGGTCAGGCAACAGGTGGGTCAGTGGGGTCAGGCAACAGGTGGGTCAGTGTGGTCAAGCAACAGGTGGGTCATTGGGGTCAGTGGGGTCAGTGGGGTCAGGCAACAGGTGGGTCAGTGTGGTCAAGCAACAGGTGGGTCATTGGGGTCAGTGGGGTCAGTGGGGTCAGGCAACAGGTGGGTCAGTGGGGTCAGGCAACAGGTGGATCAGTGGGGTCAGGCAACAGGTGGGTCAGTGGGGTCAACAACAGGTGGGTCAATGGGGTCAGGCAACAGGTGGGTTAGTGGGGTCAGGCAACAGGTGGGTCAGTGGGGTCAGGCAACAGGTGGGTCAATGGGGTCAGGCAACAGGTGGGTCAATGGGGTCAGGCAACAGTTGAGTCAGTGGGGTCATGAGGGTCAGGTGACAGCCGGCCAGATGGGTAATTTTGTCATTTTGTCAGTTTTGTCAAGTGGGTCAGGCGGGTCAGGGGACAATTGGGTCAGTTGGGTTAGGTTGGTGTGATAGATCAGGTGGGTCAGTATTTCAGTTGGGTCAAGTGGATCAGATGGGTCAAGGGGGTGGGGGGGGGTCAGTTTGTCAGTTGGGCCAAGTGGATCAGATGGGTCAGTGGGTCAGTGGTCAGGAGGTCAGGTGAAAGGCGTATCAGATTGATCAGTCCGGGTCAGATTGTGTTCTATAAAGTAATACTTGCTTTAGTGAGATACCATCATATCTAACACGCTATACTAACCAATAAAACACACAAATAGATCATCAATGTACCAAACACGTAACAAACAGAAGCACTTCAACTTTGAGAAACCACAGGTAATAATTGATGACCTTCACACCAAAGAAATCACAGGTAATAATAGATGACCTTTCCAAAGAAATCAATCACTGGTAAGTATACTAACCTATACTGGTGCTTGAATTAAGAAAATAATTTATAAAATAATTAACTAGATCTGTAAGTTTTGCCGACTGAAATTTCTATGTGTATAATAAAATCAAAAACGTACACCAAAATCTACGCGCATGATACATCACTCAATATTTCGAGAAGGATATAAAACCCGTGCACTCTAACATATAGGGCCTCCATGTCTGAAACATAATTATACAAAATAATTTTTGTGTATGTATTAACCCGATCCGGTTCAAGGTTAGCCCAACCAAACACATGACGTCATCGGTACACAGAAATCTGATACGTGTACACAGGCAGCATGTCGCATACGATCCAATTGCACGTTACTCTCTACACACAGAAGACCGTTTTAAATTAACAGAGAAATATTAAAAAACATAATCACGATATTTTTAACAAAAGAAAACAAAACAAAATACCTTCAGCTTCGCGCGAAGAAAACCACGAATATTACAACCACACTCGTGAAACAAAACAATGTTTTGATTACTAATTTTCCTTTTTTCCTAGCATGCACGCGATTATATTCGTAACAAAACTGTTTATAATTTTTTAAAAGTTGAGACCTGTGGGTGAAAGGGGAAAATGAGAGAATGCTCTCAATTATATACAAAAAGGAATTGTTTAACTAACCAAACGCTTAATTAAAGAACCAACAGTAGGTTAAACCCCCTTTTAACCGGCTAATAAAGTTTGATTAACCGAACCGCTAGTACAGGGACGGTCAACTTTAGACTGTGTGTATAATAGATAGGTGCTAAACAAAGGGCGGTTACCTGCTCATTCAAAGGGAGATAATCGTTACGTGCTTACGGCAAGGGAGATGACTCTATTTGGTTGAACAAAGTCAGAAGGATTGACAAATTTGAGGCTTCGTTTTGTTTTGATTTGAAATCTTTAATTTTTTGTATAAGAAAAAAATATCTCCAGTTAAGTCAAGTTTGAGACTTAAATAATTTTTTTTATCAAAGCACAATATTCCCTAGCTTGTCTTTTAATACTCGAAAGTAGTTCATAGTGTGTATGGCGGGTGATGCCGATCTACTAAAGTACAATCTTATTTTAAAGTAGATTAACGATTAGTTGACAATTAGATAAACGATTAAAGTTGATTGAAGATTTGTAGATTAAAGTAGATTTTTATTAAACCCACAGGAAATCAAGGGTTGTCCATACAACAATAAAAAAAAAATGAATCAGATTTTTTTCAACACGTTATTTCAAAAAATTACCCATCAACCCCCTTTAAAAAATAGCCAACTCTTTCCCACACAACTCACAGTTTATGATATCGTCAGATTTAAACTAAGTTTAGATTTCAGTCAAACTTATTTTAACAAAAAATTGTAGTCTTTCTACGCACAGTGGCGTAGCCAGGATCGTATCATGGGGGGGGGGTAAATTTTTTCCAGCATTATATATATAGGCCTATATATATATATATATATATATATATATATATATATATATATATATATATATATATATATATATATATATATATATATATATATATATATATATATATATATATATATATATATATATATATATATATATATATAAACCCCTGCCTACGCCACTGCAACAGCAACAAGCGGGTCACCAGATGATCCTAACATTTTTCTCTACAATCTTACTAAACAAACTCCGTACAGACAAAATGTTGACAGAGTCTAACGTTTACTTTTTGGGTCTCAGCTTTACTTTACTTACGCTGCAAACTTATGCAAGCACAGAAACGTATAAATAGATTATAAAAAATTAAATAAATATATTTAGCAGGACGAAACCACATATCAGGAAGTGATTTAAATATCATTAAGTCACTGGATTGTTGTTGAGCTTGTTTCTGTAGGCGGATTTAATTTTTATAAATTTAATTTAATTTTTTTTAAAAACAAAAACAATCGAAAAGTGTGCAGATTTTGAGTCGCAAATAGAAGTCGAATGTAAATGGTGTTTGTGAGGAAAATATAAAGGGGTATTAGTTACCGGCCCTTGTAGAACCAATAGTTACCGGCCCAAGTTGAACCTCCAGTTACCGGTCCTACTCGTACCATGAGTAACCGGCCTTAGTTAAACCGAGAGTTACCGGCCCTAATTTAACTGCCAATTGGCACCACCCGCCAGTTACATGCCCTAGTTCACCCCCCTGTTACCGGCTTAAGCTCAACCAAGAGTAACCAGCCCTAGGTGAACCGAGACTTATCGGCCTTAGTTAAGCCGCCAGTTACCGGCCCTAGTTGAACCAAGAGTCTTAAAATCATCACCAGCTACTGTAGACTCCACACGTTATGAATTCCCTGCGTGTCTGAGGGTATCAGCATCGTCAACGTATACTGTTCATGTCGTTACTTGGACGAGTTAATTAACTTAATTAAACTTAATTAAATAAGTCACGAGGCCCTCAGCAAAAGACTGGATTAGACATGCGCAGACACGCACAAACAAAAGCACAAACACACATACACATACCTGCGCTCAATGGACAGGTTTATAACAGTTTAGCCAGGGACAGCTTTATAACAGCTTAGTCATGAACGGCTTTATAACAGCTTAGTCATTAAGAGCTTTATAACAGTTTAGTCATGGACTGCTTTATAACAGTTTAGTCATGAAGAGCTTTATAACAGTTTAGTCATGGACAGCTTTATAACAGTTTAGTCATGGACAGCTATATAACAGTTTAGTCATGAAGAGCTTTATAACAGTTTAGTCATGGACAGCTTTATAACAGTTTAGTCATGGAGAGCTTTATAACAGTTTAGTCATGGACAGCTTTATAACAGTTTAGTCATGGACAGCTTTATAACAGTTTAGTCATGAAGAGCTTTATAACAGTTTAGTCATGGACAGCTTTATAACAGTTTAGTCATGGACAGCTTTATAACAGTTTAGTCATGGACAACTTTATAACAGTTTAGTCATGGACAGCTTTATAACAGTTTAGTCATGGACAACTTATAACAGTTTAGTCATGGACAGCTTTATAACAGTTTAGTCATGGACAGCTTTATAACAGTTTAGTAATAGACAGCTTTATAACAGTTTAATAATAGACAGCTTTATAACAGTTTAGTCATGAAGAGCTTTATAACAGTTTAGTCATGAAGAGCTTTATAACAATTTAGTCATGAAGAGCTTAAAACAGTTTAGTCATGGAGAGCTTTATAACAGTTTAGTCACGTTGTAACGTTAACCTATCTATCAGCCAAATAGAAGGAGAACGTCCCCGGATTCTTTTTTCGGGGTCATATGCAAATGCCTTACGGCCTAAGTGGATGAACACTTAACACAACGACCCACTAGGGCTCGAATTTAATGTCTAGGGAAGCTAGTGATACTATTGTAATTAACACTCATCCAATCTACATACGACCTTTTAATCAGCGAACACAGTTGTGGCAGAACACAAAGATGAACTAGATAAAATATTTAATGTATAAAATATCAAAAACCCAACTTACAAAATGCAGGAAAAAACACTATCACAGATTTCTACACTGTCTAAAGAACAGCTACAGGCCACACAACACTGCTGTAGCTTCAAGACTTACTTAGCGACAAGTAATATTAAACTAGAAGACTAAATCAACTGAAGAAAGCAAGGCACACACAGGTCTTAAGTACTCTCACGTTCAAATGGTCAGAGTCTATAGCCGGACAATATGGACGACTGCCTGATCAAGGTAAAACAGCCTCGTAGTCTGCGAGGTCAAGATAAACTGCCTGGGGTTGCGAGTGTGCAGTGCAATTAAAGACTTCTGTGACAGGGGAGGTTATCCTCAACTCATGTCGCCATTGGTTGGGATAATCATCTGATCAGAATCATTCAATCAGATTTTAATGGAAAATTTCTATGTCTCAAACACCTTAATAAGTCAGTGGAAAAACCCCAGGTGTTACACCATCATTCCATATAAGGAATTATACAATGTCAAAATAAAAATGACTCGACCTAAGTAGGTCACATCCCCTCCCTTTTTGGAAGTGACAGATAGGTTCCACAAAAACATACATAAGGAACCAATCTGGCAATGAAATAACAAAAATGTTTTACAAATGTAGGCAATCAAAATCATAACACCAGATGAAAATATCCCTGAACATAAAAGGGAAGTAACTCCACCTTTTACAATTGGTGAAAGGGGAGTAACCCTTCAAAAAGTAATTATACTCCAAAATCCCTCAAAAAAGGGTATTACAATATTTCCATGTGGATATTAAAAGTGGTAAACCCGCCAGGGTAAGACCTTTATTTCAATGACTAGCTACAATATCAATAGAGTCATATGAGACATATTATTGTAAAAGATTACATATAATCAAAAACCACCTTTAATTAAGGTTCACCTGAAAATAAACAAAATATTCAACAGGATTGGAATTTTGAAAAATTCTAACTCACACCACTCATTTTCATATGAGTGACACTCAAACAAAACCTGTTTATGGTCCTAATGAACCACAAAGCGTGTCACATGATCAATGTGTGTAACAAGATTTTACATCCTTGACAAACAATCAGCCACAACATTATTACTACCCTTAATGTGTGAAATTTCCAGATTAAAATTTTGGAAATATAAGCACCATCTCAATATTCTTTGATTTGTCTGTCCTAACTTAGAGGTAAATTTCAGGGGATCATGGTCAGAAAACACTCTGACTGGATTGGTTGAAGAAGAGACATAGACTTCAAAATGTTGTAATGACAAAACCAAAGCTAAAGCTTCTTTTTCAATAGTAGAATAATTCTTTTGGTTCTCATTTAACTTCCTGGAAAAAAAGGCAATGGGATGGTCAATTCCCATGTTGTCTTCTTGAAATAGGACTGAGCCAATGGCTAAGTTGCTAGCATCAATGGCAAGTTTAAAGGGCTTGCTGAAATTTGGTGCAGCCATAACAGGAGCATTTGATAAAAATGACTTAATGGTTAAAAAAGCTTCTTGACATTTATTTGACCATTTAAACTCAACACCCTTTTTCAATAATGCAGTAAGAGGTTCAGCAATAGCTGAAAAGTTTTGACAGAACCGCCTATAGTAACCAGCCATCCCAAGGAACTTTTTGA